CAGGACCAACTAGATTCACTGAAAAATTCTACCAAACCTCTAAAGAAGAGCTAATGATAACATTTCTCTAATTGTTCCATGGACTACAAAGAGAAGGGATTCTCCTAAACTCACTATAAAAAGCTTGCATTACACTGATGCTCAGACTGGATAAAGACATAACAAGAAATGAAAATTACAATTTAATTTCCCAATGAACATAGGTGTAAAAATTTTTAGCAAAATACTTGGACACACATTAAGAAGATCATATACTATGAACAAATTGTATCCTTCCAGGGATGCAAAGATAGTGAATATATACAAATCAATAAATGTAATACAACACATAAACAGACTCAAGGACAGAAAGCACACAACTATCTCAATAGATGCAGAAAAGGTCTATGGCAAAGTTCATGATCCCCTCACAATAAAAGTCCAGAGGAAACCAAGACTAGAAGACATACTTTGACATGACAAAGATTAGGCACAAGAAACCTATAACCAGGATTTTACTGGCTAGGAGAAAAATCGAAAACATTGCTTCCAAAATCAGGAACAAGACAAGAGTGCTGACTCTTTCCCTTCTTGTTTATACACTGCTCAAAATCTTAGCTAGACCAATAAGAGCAATAAATAAAAAGGATACAAACAGGAAAAGATGACATAAAATTACCTCTGCATGTAGATGACATTATCCTATACTTAAATTATCATGACAGTTCCACCAGAAACCCCATAGATTTAACAAACAACTTGAGAAAAATATCAGGATTCAAAATCTACAAATAAAAATTAATAGCACATGGAGAAATGGCTCAGTGCTTAAGAGCACTTGCTGCTTTTCCAGATAACCAGGTTCAGCTCCTAGCACCTTCATGGAGGCTCACAGCCCTCTGTAACTCCATTCTCAAAATGGCACCCAAAGGCACTTCATGCACATGGTGCACAGACTTATATTCAGGCAAACATTCACACATATAAAAATTAAAATCTGAAAAAAGCCCAAGTCAGTAGCTTTTCCAAATGCCAATAATGAACTTAATAAGAAAGATGTAAGGAAAATGATACTATTTGCAACACCCTAAAAATTATCCAGGAATTGGGCCAGTGAGATGGCTCATGGGGTAGGACAACTTGCTGCCAAGCCTGACAACCTGAGTTCATTCTCCAGAACCCATCGTAGAATAAGAGAACAAATTTCTGCTGGTTATCCTCTGACCTCTACACATGCTCCACAAGCATAATACAGAATAAACAAATGTAAAAGTGTTACATAAGAATGATATCTATAACTTAAACTTTAAGACACTGCAAAAATTGAAGAAAACAAAAGATCTTCCATGCTAATGGGTTGGTAGAATTCATATCATAAAATGGCTCTATCAGTTAAAGAAATCTATGGATTCCATCCAAACTCCAATGGCATCTTCCATAGACCTAGAAAAAGCAATCTGAAAGTTCATGGTGAAGCATCTCAAACAGACAAAAGTGTAGAAAATAGAAAGCATAGTGGTGCAGGCATCATAATGCCTACTCGTTAATTGTACTACAGAGCCACAGTCACCAAACCAGACATACACAACAGTGGAATAGAATGGAGGACCATAAACAAACCCACATGGCCACAGGCACCTAACCTTTGACAAAGGCGTTAAGACTGTACATTGGAAAAATGATGCAATAAATGGTGCCGGGGAAAGGAGCAGTCCACATGGATAGGAGTGAGAGGAGATCTAGAGCTTTCATCCTGACAAAAGTCAATTCAAAGTGTCTTCACAAGACCCAGAATGCTAAAACTCCTAGCGGAAAGCAGGTACAACATGTTATAGGAACAATCTTTAGGCTCAAATAGCACACAGTGGGGAAGAATCAAGAACTGATAGACCTAGTGGTCTAGTGTCTTTGGCTAGAGGGGACTGGCAATATAGATTATTAAAATTTTATGGCTTTTATTGGTAATTAGTTTTAAAAAATTGTTATCACTATTGTGGGTTCTGTACAAAGGGTCTATGGGTAACAAAGTGGCTGTATTATTCACCGATGAGCAGATTTGGAGTAGTTTGAGAACCTTTGCTTCATATTGTCACATATGGCAATAGTGGCATAGAATACACACACACACACACACACACACACACACACACACGGGGGGGGGGGGGAGAGAGAGAGAGAGAGAGAGAGAGAGAGAGAGAGAGAGATCTTCAGCAGATCCATCTGCAAAAGCAGACAATATGTCTTGTTCACAGCTGAATCTGAGCACACTAAAGAGGGCAAATGAGGTCATATAAACCCAGATTCAATGACTTTTTTTTTTTGCAAAGAAATCTTTTAAATATCCTGGGATACTATAACAGCTTGTTTTAAAAATGTTAATAGATTATTATCAATACGTTGAATACTAACAGATGTAACTAACACATAAACAGACACAGGAATTCATCCTATTTTACACAATGGGAAACTGGAGCATGAAGAATAGGTTCAGTGTTTCTTTTGCCAGAGATCCTGTGGTTAGTAAGGGGTAGAACTGGGATTCAAATACAGGCAGTTTGTCTCCATGATCTGTGTTCTCATCCAACAGCATGTACTTCTTCATAGTGCAAGACAGAGGTGTGAAGGACATATTTGAACGTATAACATAAATGCCAAGTTTTCATAAATTGAAACATAAATTTCAAGTTTTCATTGAAACATGGAAAGAAAATATTCATTGAATGTTTTGAAATGACCATATACGTTGACTATAAAATGGAAATTATGTAAGTCAGACAATTAAAACTACAGGAAAATAACACGAGTTATAAACAGCAAAGATAATGGGTGAGAACATGACATCAGAGATGAAAGGACACGAAAGATCTGGTTCACAGATAATTAAATACGAGAGGACAACTGTAACTGGAAAACTACAGTTTCAAAAAAATGAAAGAAATAGTTTATTTTTCCAAGCAAACACACACTACTCAAAATTGACTCAATGAGAGAGAGAGAGAGAGAGAGAGAGAGAGAGAGAGAGAGAGAGAGAAGAACATTCCAGCAGCCATCAATGCTTTTCAAAAGATAGTAAAAAGAAAATCTGTCCTTTTAAAATTCACGGAGCACAGATGGTTTTTGAGGGTCATCTAAGCTCTCAGTGAATAGAAGACCATGTTAATGATTTAAATATCTCTGAGGGGAAAACTGGAATGCCAGGAAAATTATTCTGTTAGGTTAGTATAATCCCACATTAAAACTCAATGAGAGCTCAACTCTCCCTAACAAACATCAATTTGTTAATAGAAATGAAAAAAAAACTACCTTCACATAAGTAAACAATTTGAATCTAGTAGTATGCTTGAGTAAAGGAACAGACATGGTCAAGCAGAGTTTGGATAGTATAATACATCACTCTCAGAGATAGCATGTTAAATCAGGGCACAGAGGAATGGGGTTTTTCAGAACTGGTGTTGGGACAGTTGGCATCTCACATCTGTCAGATCCTAACCTTACCTCTTTGCACAAACGTAATAGCCACAAACCATAAAGGCATTTAGGAAAGAACCATTGTTGAGACTGTGGGATAGAAAACTCCTTTAGCAAGATGGGGAATGTAGGGAGTGACCATACAAACCTTTAAAGGGGAAAAAAAATCCAGAAACAGCACTGAAGTCATAAAATATCATGGATACTGGATGGAAACTTCTGGGTAAGGTACTATGAAACCACCAACTAATAAAGGCACAGTAGGAAATAGCATTCATACATTTGAACGATCAGTAAAATAGATAGCCCTCTAGTAAGGTTGATTCTAAAATAAATAGAAGATAGAGTAGTAGAAAATGCCAACAGAGAGCATTAAGAATGCAAACTGAAAAAATTGCAAACAGTGTCAAAGACATACATACATACATACATACATACATACATACATACATACACAAATGGCAAAATGTAGCTTTAATTTTTCTCCCTCTTCTTTTATTTTTATTTTATTTTATTTTATTTTTTTTTATTTATTTTTTTTTTTTGATTTTTCGAGACAGGGTTTCTCTGTGTAGCTTTGCGCCTTTCCTGGGACTCCCTTGGTAGTCCAGGCTGGCCTCGAACTCACAGAGATCCGCCTGCCTCTGCCTCCCGAGTGCTGGGATTAAAGGCGTGCGCCACCACCGCCCGGCTTATTTTTATTTTTTAGAGGGCACAAGAGTTGCAGGGGTGGACCTGGGAGGACTGGTAAATGAGTGTGATCAGGGTACATTGTGTGAAATTCCCACATAATCACATAATACTGGAAAAAATGGCAAGGCAACACTTAGAAACGTTGGACATATAAATGAGACAGATAATTTTCAAGGAATATAGACTTCACTAAAGTTGACTCAAGAAGTAGGACGGTTTGGGGTAGGATAAATAGATGCTATGTGTGTGTATATAGAAGAAAATTCAGCTTACCTCTGGAAGCTGACTAGTGGGAGAAGGGTGCTACAGGGCTGGGAGGAAGAAGACACCCACTTTCCAAATATAGCGCTCTGCTATGAATGATATGCAGTATCCGTAAATTAATTTAGTTAAGACAACAAATACTGTTAGTGATGACTCCATGGGAAGTCATGAGAGTAGGAGGAGGTGGGGTAAAGGATGAAGTTGATGGAATCCAGAATCATGCATGTGGGAACTATCTCAAATAATCAGATCCTCTCCTCTCCACATTACAGACTTTCATCCTGAGACCCCAAAGATTTTTATCAAATTTATCAAATCTGAGGCATGCAAAGCCACAGAATGACCAAAGAAGGTCTTTTCAAATCTCCAGACCCCAAGGTCTGGACTCACCAAGTGCGCAGGCCAGCCAGGGGTTCTAAGGCTCCTGCTAAGTTGTTGAGTTAAATCTAATCCCTCCCAGAGCTGGGGACAAGGGAGCGGGGCAGCGGCTCCTTTTCCCACAGCGGCAGGTAAGCACCTCCCCACCCTCGCTGCCCCCTCCTTCTGGCTTCCTCTCTCACACCCACCCACACACACAGCCTTCTCTGTTCGCGGTTGGAGAGCCATTCTCGGGCGCCAGCGGGCAGCAGTGGCTTGTCAGCCAGTAGAGCCAGCAGAAGCCAAAGCTGCAGGACTGGGCTGCGCAGGAGCTCTGCAGCCAACAGCTCCAAGCTGGGGGAGCGTTCTCACGTTTCTTTAATACTTCTTTTTTCTTATTAAACGCCCCTTTCCTTGGCCGCCACAACTTGGAAGAGCAGAGAGCGATCTGAGACACTGACACAGAGGTTTCATTTATGGCCCTTGAAGAAGTTCCGAGCAAGTCTGCATTCAACGGCATCCACGAGGAGGACAGGGCTAGCCTGGCTGCTGGCGATGCCTCAGACTGGCAGAGCTCTCTGGCAGCTAAGCTGAAGCTGCAGGAGGAGGTGCTATGGAAGTGATAACACTGTCCAAGTCCTGGACCAAGGTAGCATCGCTGGGTAAGCAGGTAAGCATCCCCACTGGTAAGTGCGCCTTAAGGGCTTTCCGCTGGTCACCTAGGTGAGACCCAAGGCTCCCCAGAAGTAAGTCCACGTTGTCTAGCCAGGGCAGGAGGCGGGGCTGAAGGAGAGAGCCTCCTTTCATCACAGGAAATTGTGGGAGACTGGAATGGAAGGATTTAATTTAAATATAAATATATATATTTGCATTAACGCGTGGGGATGAGATGCGTAGGAGCCAGGGATTTTTGTAGGAAATGGTTGCAGATTGGGGCTGGCTGTTAGGCGTCTGGGTTTTTACAGGAACTGAAGCCATAGCAAAGTCTTAACGTTTTTTGCCTAAATCTGTGATGAGTGGGCAATGAGAAGATGTGAAATGTGAAAAAATCTGAAAATGTGCACATAATCGTAAAGCATATGTGTCTGAGAATTTCTGAAAAAAAAAAATGATGGCATGAGCATTTACTGCTCTGACTTCATTTGAATCCCTCCCTCCCCCATATTCGGCCTTCAGGAAGGTGCCCAACAACACTGATAGCAATGAACGCCCACACACCAGGCGCGGCCGCACCCCGGTTTCAGCACCTCGGACAGAGTCCCTCCTCCCCCCAGGCAGCTTTGAGCCAACCGCTGGGATTGGCTCCTAAACTGCTACCTCTATGAGCTATGGGCGGCGACTCCCTTGGTTCAGCCAGACAAGGCTCTTGAACCGCAAACACAAATGTGAAGTTCAATTTTTAATGGGCTTCTAACTGCTTCCTGTGACTACAGAAGGAAGAGCCGGAGTGCAAAGATACCCTTCCACGCTTCCGCAAATGCTGCAGCTGAACGAAGTGGCCTCCTTAGTTTTGGAGTGTGTACCCAAACTTTCTCAAGTACTTATCATTTACACCGCTTCCAGTGTGCCTACACCCTGTGCCAAACGCTCTACATAGATTGTATAATTTTATGCACCGTGATAGCTCTATCTGTACGCTATTTTTATCCCCATTTTTCAGATGAGAAAAACTGAAGTAAGAGAGACTAAGAAACTTGTCCAAGCTTATACAACCAGGGACGTTACAGCTGACTGAACCTTAAACTCCACTCCAGCTTGCAGAAGTGGAACCATAAGTCTGAGCAGAGTTCCCTCTGTGGAACAGCTCTGAGCTTGGAGTTGGAGGGACAGAACCGGAACAAAGTTGTAGCACTATGCCTTAGGACATACTGCAGATGTTTGGAGCTATAGCTTAATAGGTAGACTGTCTGCCCAGCACCATCAAAGCCCTGGGTAAGACCCTCACAATCGTAAAACCGGGTGTAATGGTTGCAATCCTGCAATCTAAGTACTCTGGAGGAGAAGGCAGAAGAATCAGAGGTTCAAGGCCATTTTCCTTTACTTGTGAATTTGAGGCCACACTGAGATACATGAGACTCTGTCTCAAAAAGTGTTTGTGTGTGTTTGTGTGTGTGTGTGTGTGTGTGTGTGTGTGTGTGTGTGTGTTTGTATTTCTCAAACTTTAACTGTGGAGTTAGTAGGAAAGAAGAAAGTAGCAGGTAGTTGGAAAAGCTACAAGGCAGTAACAAAAAATATGCTATTACAGGGCAGGCTTGGGTTCAGAGCAGGGCAGGACTCCATGGAAAAGACATGAGACAAGCTTACAACCCACTAGGAATTTTTAAGCAGAACTCCCTACAGGAAATTCACATACTGCCTATCATTTGATCCTTACAACACTGTGAAATGGGTAGGGCTTGGGGTTATCCTATTCATTTGGCAAAGGAACACTTGTCCCAAATTCCTTAGGTACCTACCTAGCAACAGAGCTGAAATCCTGAACAGCTCTCTTGCATCTTTGTTTGGCAATACCACCTTCTGCAGACTGGCATTTCATTTGGAGCTTGGAATTTGTCAATTTCAGTACTAAAAGTATTTAGATAAATAATATTAACATGTGAGAGAAATGACTTCTAAACTACGTTTGGATCAACTTAATAGATGCATATTAACTATAATCTATTTTTGTTCCCAAAGAACTTAAAACCATCTTTAAAGATTCCTAAGATACGAGGCTTATATTCAGAAGTAGTTGAAGAAGTAGAGGAAAAACAAGATGAACTATAGCCAGAAACAAATGGATATGAAATACATCTTAGAAAGTCCTAGTAGTCTGTTCTGGGTCAATAAGAACAATATATACCTAAGCCTTTTGGGTAAGGCATAAATAATTATGAAGATACTCACAAAATATCCACAGAACTTTCTCTTTTGCATAACAACATATTTCAGATCGCTGAAATATTTGCCTGTGTGACAAATGAGGGAAGATAACTGGAAATTTGTTGGACTTGTGACCAAAAAAAGTAGCCAGCTGAGATGGGCTCACAAGATGTGGTCCAGTAAAGAGAAATAAAAAAAAAAGTAGCCAGCAAGGAAACGACATTATGACATTACATCTTTACCAAAGTAACCACTAATTACATAATTTATGATGTCTCACTTGACCATATGCACCTTCAAGTTAACAACAAGAACAGAAAGCCTCTACATTTATTGTTCTATCTGATTTTTCTGACAATCTTGAAGAGGTCAGCAATAGGACGTGAGAGAAAGGGTCAAACTATGGCATGATGGCCTTTTGTGCTTGTATGTAAACCTCTGTCCCTATTTAGTCCAGATAAATTAACAAATGTATGAATAATTGTAAATGAATAGTTGTAATACTATAGAGAGGGCCTTCTCATGCTAAACAATAACTAATCCTTGTATTCAAATATAATAATAAATATATCATGCCAGGGGCTGGAGAGATGGCTCAGCTGTTATGAACACTTTTTGTTCTTGCAGAAGACCTGTGTTCTATTCTCAAAACCTACATGTCAGCTCACAGTCATTCAACACCCTTGTGTGACCTCCTTGGGTACCTGGCAATCACATGATACACAGATACATATTCAAGCAAAACATTCATACTCAGGAAATAAAGTCAAGAAATCAAAAACATTTAAAATGTCATGCCAGTCAAACAGCACATGACTGTGGGTCACATGGGCCTTAGGACTTTAATTTGTGGCTTTGGTCTGGAAAAACTCAGGCCAAACACTTGGAAAGATATGATAATGAATGATTCTAGATTCAAAGAGGAAAAGACTCAAAGCCTGTCATTTTTGCTTCCTATTTTTTAAATCTGGAAGATTGAGTAAGATGGCCTCTTGGAGCTTAAAAGGGACATAAGACTTCTAAGCATTTATAAATAACAAAATAACGGAAGAGCTTCAGGACAAAGATGGTGTACACCTTCCCCCTGTCATGCTAGTCAAACAGTACATGATTTAACTTTTGGATGCTGGTGGTACTTAGTCTTCAGCATTTATTTTGTAGCCCCAGTGCCTTGGAATCATGCTAGTCATCACTACAGTCATAATGTTAAATTAGTTATGTCTTAAGGATCATTGAGAGGTGTATGTAGTGGGCATGTCAAGAGCATGGGAAGAAAGGCAGCAGAAAGACACTGCTCATGTCTCAGTTTACTTTCTTTCTGAATCACAAGAAAATCATTTTCTTTGGGGTTATGTTCTAATTATTGTTCATCTTTAATTTTTTGAAAAACTTATATATATATATATATATATATTAATTTTTGAGATAATTTTCATTGGTCTGGAACTCATCAAGTAGGCTAACATGGATATCCAGGGAGCATCAGGGATCTTCCTGTCTCTGCCTACCAGTGTTGGTTTTCCAAGTGTGCTCTGCCACACCTGGCTTTTTCACAGGAATTTTGGGTCTCAAACTCAGGTCCTTATGCTTGCAAGGCAAATGTTTTACTGACCCAGGCATCAGGTAAGGTTTTAAAATTAAAATAATAGCATCTAGAGTGGCTAAAGTGACAGGATTTCAAAATTCAGAGGATGTGTCAGCTGTATCCAGTGAGAAATCTAAGTTTAGAGACCCCCAGTAAAGTATCCCATCTTCCCAGTGTTAGGTGTTCGTAGCATTTGCTTCATTGGGCACAGTAGAAGACAAATATCAAATGAAAGGAAAGTAGGTATTGGTTGATTCACACATCAAACGTATCACTGGTCAGTTCTGCCTTTCTAAGTTCTCTCCAGCTTTACTCACCCTCAGCCTCTGTATTGGGGCAGCCCTAATTCTCTTCATCTCCACAAGGCTCTTATGTGGCCTCCTAGCCTCCCAATCCATTCCTACACTCTCACCAATGATTATGTCATCTTTTCAATTGCAGCTATCCACTATTTGGCATTTCCACATACCAACATCTACCTTTAGGACAACAGTCCAAAAGGTGTTGCCTGGCCTACTAGTTAGCTCACTCTGCCAATGCCTACACCCCTTCATCCCTGACCCTATACCACAAGGTTCTCTAAATTTCTTTGATATGCTACCATTTTCTTTATAACCACAGGTGTAACACCTTCAATAGTTTGATCCAAGACACTTCCATACCCCCTTTTTAAGGGCTAGCCCAATTGTGTGTTCATTATGAATCTTCTCCTAATCTGTACCCTTAGTTCCTCATGGTACTCATTTCTCGATGCTGTATGTTTGTCTTCAATTCTGGGACTTACTACACCAAACTACAGTTATTTCACATAGATGCCAAGAACATGGACTTTGAGGTGGGACTGCTGGATTTGAATTCTAACTCTACAACCTACTACTTAGGTGATTTTAGATAAGTGACTTTCTCTCCCTGATGCCCAGTTTAAACTTCAATTTAAGAAACCGGTACCATTACTATCCATCTCATGGTATTGTTGTAAGGATTAAGTGATGATGCATAGAACATTGTCATTATTCAGCACATTGTTTGGTACATGGCAAGCATACCATAAAATTTTATTATTATTACCTTCCTTCTAGATTGTAAATACTTGCATTCCATATAAATCCCTTAATATCCATATAAATAACCATGTATTTCTTTATCTTCATATCTGACTATGTTTGCTGATGAATAAATGAACAGATAAACAAATAGCACTGATACTTTATTCAGGACTTATTTGATTATAAATAGCAGAAATTTTAACTCACATAATTAGAGACAAAAACACACTAATTAACTGAAAGTCTTCTAGAGTGCCTTTTCTTGTCCTCCAAAGGCCAAAAATTTCAGAAGAGAGAAGGTAGTTCTCTCTTCAACTTGCTTCTCGGATTATTGGTAGTTTCACTTAGTCAATTGCAATCATCTGGGAGCTGATTAAGGCTAGACAGATGAAATGGTCTCACCTACATTCAGGAAGTTAGCTGAAGCTCCACCTGACCTTTCTAGTGGGGTATCCCAGTATTTCTCACTAAGAAGGTGGTTTCCAAGAGGGAAAACTTAGAGATTTATCCCTTTCTGTTGGGATAGCTCAGTCTTCCTCATAAAGCAGGTGGGTTCCAAATGGGAAAACTTAGTTAGATGTTGCAAGGCCTGTGAAGGCTTTGCTCAAAAGTGGTGTTATTTTGCCTATTTTATTGGTCAGCTCCTCATACATATACCAGGATAGGAGAATTTTGTAGCCATGGTTTATAGTTTACCACAAGTATCAATCTAGGCATGGGATGACCGGGTCAGAATGTAGACTTCAGTTTAGTATAGTGGTACCTATTTATACCCCAACATGTTCCTGATGGTTTCTGACTTCCTGCATCCTTTGGGTTGTCATTCTGTCTAATATTGAGTGGTACCTTGTGCTTTGATTTGATTTTCCTTGAGTGCTAATGAGACTGAGTACCTTTGATGAGCATGTAAAGCTCATGGGTCATTTGTGTATCCTCTTTTGGAGGAAGTGATTTGGAGGAGTTCTTTATATAGTCTGGATATGAGTCATTGTAATTTTACTCAACTTTCCCTCTTGGATCTTGATTGATTTTTCTCTTGATTACAAAGGAAGTAACATTTGAGCTGATGTTTGGAGGATGATGAATAATTAAAGAAGAGCAGGGAGTCCTTATAGTTAGAAACAAGAGCAGTGCTAGGAGGGAGAAAAGTGGGCGTACATAAGAAACACTGACATTTTAAGGTAGAATGTGAGAAGAGCTGGCATCTCAGGGAATAAATCTAGAAGGTGAGTTAGGGTCAGGGGAAGAAAGGCTTCTGTGATAGAATGACAAGAAGTATTTTCACTGGCTATCCCCTTTCATTTAGTTAATGCTTGGAAATTCTGCTTTGGAATGCCAGAGCTTGGAGACTAAGAAGTTTATTGAATATTGAACAATTCAAGACTTTAACACAGCCACCATAGGAAGCACACCGTTAAGGAGATCATTATGATGGCAGGAGAGAGAAAAGCCACAGACACACAGAGAAGATGAAGATTGATAGGATGTTAAAGGAGAAAGGGAATGGGGAAAGAGATGGAAATACAGACATGTCGATATGTCAATTGTGCAATGCCCTAAGGTGACGGCAATTTTTCAGAAACTCTCATAGAAACATATAAGCACAATTGCAGCAGGTTAGACTCAAAGTCTTCAGAATGATGCATCTGAAGTAGTGGGAAATGAGCCAAAGCAGGAAGATACAGATCGGGCTGTTGCTGCTGTTACTTTTAAAGAAAGTGCTTCCAGGAGGAGCTGGGATGGATCAACGAAACCTCTTTTGCTTAATGTGGTATGGTGTGGCAGTGATGATGATGGTGATGGTGATGGCGATGGCGGCAGCCATGGCAATGGTGTGCATGTGCGTGTGTGTGTGTATGCTCAAGCACTTGTGCATGAGTATGGAGAGGCCAACCTTGGGTATTATATTCCTAAGGAGCCATCCACATTTTAATTTTTTGAGGCAAGGTCTCTCACTAGGACCTGAAGTTTAATGATTAGGCTAGGATTTCTGGCCACAGAGCCCCCAAGATACTTCTACTGTTATTTCCCCATCTCTAGGATTACAAATGTGCTTTCCCATGCCTGTCTTTTTAAGTGGGTTCTGGAGCTTGAATTCAGGTCCTTCTGTTTGTATGGCTACCTGAGCTATCTCTCAGGCCCTGGTTTTCTTTTTTATGCATTAAAATTTTTTAAAAGATGAGCATTTATCTCTCAATTTCAGCCAAGAGAGTTTTGCCTTCCAAATCTATAGAAAATAGAAACTGCGAAGCCATTGCTTTGAGTAATACAGGAAGAGAAAGAATGCTGTAGATCAGATGAGGGAGAAATAACAGGCCGTCAGCTCAGTTAGAGCTGGCTACCCAGGGTGTCCATGTGGAGAGGCCATTCTTGCAGACATGAGTCAATGTAATTGGTACCTATAGGCTGTTTAGGGCATCCATGCCAGCCTTCCTATCACTTCCTATTTGTAAAATGCATCTCAAGCACACAGTGTGGAAGTTCTGAACCCATAGACTAGACAACTCCCATGAAGAGAACAAGACAGAAAATTAGAGTGTGACAAATTTTGATGGAGGAAACTTTGGTTTTACAATTTGTTTCACAATATGTGAGAACAAAAATTCAACACTGCTCTCTATTCTCTGCCATGTATCAGTTCAACAGGAGAGAAGGATACAACATGGCATGGTGGAAGCTGCTATGAATTAGGCAAATGGGAATTCTGACATCTCCTGGGAAAGTTGGAGACTAGATCCTGGAAAAGAATGGTTATATTGACTCTATCATATATATTTATTACTGCATTTTCTTCATACTCATAGTGATACATATTCATTTTAGGAACACAACAAAAAGAAAAAAATGAATTCCTCCCTAGGCCTATTACCTAGAATAAGGATCAACACGTTGGTGTATTTTCTACTAGCTATTCTGATGCACATCAATAACAATGCTTTTAACAATTATTTGTAAAGTGCCCCACTCATTATGTGTGAATCACTGCTAAGTGCTGAGGATCCAACAGTAAAAACAAAAACAGATATGAATGTTTATTTTTTAAAGGAACTTAGATTTCTATATTTGTGTTAACTGAGAAGTCAACACAACCATATCTTGCAATTTAAAAATAGTTACTGTGTGCTCTGCATTATGCTAATTGCTTTTCATGTGGCCAGGTGGTTTTTGTGTGTGTTTGTTTTACACACATTTTTTAGACTTAATTAATATTATTTTATGTGTATGAGTTTTGACTTCATGCACATATGTGTACCAGGTGTATGCCTGGTGCCCATGGAGGTCAAAAGGTGTTGGGTCCCCTAAAATTGGAGTTACAGATTAATGTGGGTTCTGGGACTCAAACCCAGGTCTTCTGCAAGAGTATCAAATGCTCTTAAACACTGAACCAACTCTGCAGCCCTTAGCCAGGTGTTTTATATACACTATCTGAAGAAGTCTTTAGAATAACCCTAAGATGTAGGTCACTACTATTTCTACCTCCATTATAGATGAATAGACCCACTCATAGTCATTCAATAACACAGTTCAGGCAACACAGCTTGGGATCAGGCAGGGACATGATTGCATCTAGACTTTGAAATAACCCTGCTGCATAGAATAGCAATAGACTATATAATGCTTTCTCTTCTTCTTCCCTTGCTAGGTCTGATTGCCCCTGTGGCTCAGAGGTCCTAAGTTGTAGCCACCATGATGGATGATGACACTGAGTTGAGGACTGATGGAAACTCCCTCTTAAAGGCTGTATGGTTAGGGAGGCTCCGGCTGACCAGACTCCTCTTGGAAGGGGGAGCTTATATCAATGAGAGCAACGACAAAGGTGAAACAGCTCTCATGGTGGCATGCATTACCAAGCATGTGGACCAGCAAAGCATTAGCAAGTCTAAGATGGTGAAGTATCTGTTGGACAATAGGGCAGACCCCAATATCCAGGATAAGTCTGGCAAGACTGCACTCATCCATGCTTGCATCAGAAGAGCTGGAGGAGAAGTGGTGTCCTTACTGCTGGAGAATGGAGCAGACCCCAGTCTTGAGGATCGCACTGGGGCTTCAGCCCTTGTTTATGCAATAAATGCGGATGACAAGGACGCACTGAAGCATCTTCTTGATGCCTGCAAAGCAAAAGGTAAGGAAGTGATTATTATAACAACAGACAAATCGTCTTCAGGCACAAAAACCACCAAGCAGTATCTCAATGTCCCTCCATCACCCAAAGTGGAAGACAGACAGTCACCACCACTGTGTGCATCTCCTTCTGACATTGAACTGAAGGCTCCTGGTTTAGGTTCTTCACCCAGTGAGAAGGATGATGATTTCTTCATCCTCCAAACAGGACACCAAAATGGCTGTAGTAGTTCTAAGATCCTGAATGAGTCTGGATCACCCACCAGGAAAGTGCCTAGCCTTAAAAGGGCCCGTTTGCCCCAACTGAAGAGGCTCCAGTCTGAACCCTGGGGCTTGATTGCTCCCTCTGTGCTGGCAGCCTCCACACACCAGGACGAAAGCCATGGCACAAGCACAGACAATGAGGTCATCAGGAGCATCAGTGACATGCCCTTCCCTAGAAGGGGGTCCCTTTCCAGAACCAACAGCATTGACAGTAAAGACTCCACTCTCTTCCCCACAGTACAGGAACAAGTTCTGAAGATTCCAGCTTCGGCACCAGCTACCTGGAAAGCAGCTTATGAGAAAGCCCAGGCTCCCCACCCACGCCTGGCCAGGAGAGGAACACTTCCTGTTGACCAAGAGAAGGGTGGGATGTGTCCACCAGGACCATCAGCTCTGAAAGATTCAGCATCTCTCAAGCTGTTGGAAAATGACCTCTATGACTTAGACGTACCGCCAGGGGCTGACCCACCCAACTCCATGTCCCTTGAGTCAGGCAAAGGACATTTGGACAGAAAGAAGCTCAACAGCTCCCACTTGTCCCTTTTCCATGGCTCTCGGGAGTGCCTGGACACTGTACCCAGCACATCTCCCAGCTCAGTGCGCCGCAGGCCCCCTCATCTTCTAGAAAGAAGAGGTTCAGGAACTCTCTTACTAGACCGCATTGCTCACACGAGGCCTGGCTTTCTTCCCCCTTTAAATGTGAGTTCAAACCCACCTATCCCAGATATCAGAGCCAGTAGCAAACCACCTTCTCCACTTGCTGGAGGCTTAAAGTCTATGCTTCCTGTTGCTCCAAATTCACCAAAGAGAGTTGACTTGAGAAGTAAAAAGAAACTCCTTCGAAGGCATTCTATGCAGATTGAACAGATGAAGCAGCTATCTGACTTTGAAGAAATCATGACCTAGAACCCCTTAGAAACAGTTCTCCCACCTCCAGTCCATAGAATAAGGAAGAAACCAAACCTAGAACAACACAGCCACACAGCCCCTCTTCTTCCCAATCATGGTGTGTGGCAACTTCAGAAAGCATGGTGACTGACAGGTGCCGCTTCACTTCTGAGACAAACCCAAGGGTTATTTCAGAGTGCCACTTCTGAGATGACCCCTGGGTGCTGCTGCTGCTGCTGTTGTTACTATTTTACACACCAAAAAGAGCTCAGGATAATTGGGTTGTGGAGATGAAGGTACAGGAGGGAAAAAGTAATTCTCCAAAGGAAACACACCTTTGCAGTTGGAAGGTAACCACACAAATGTAATGGTTGGTATTTTCTGCCAGAAAAGCACAGACCATGAATTTAAAACATGAGAGTGTATTCAGGACATGTCGTTAGTAGTCTATAAAGTGCCTAAAAAAGAAAACAAAGCTTTCATGCTTTTCTAGGATGTGGAAGAGCTCAAAAACACCCACCCCTAACTACTGTATCTGAATACCTAAGTTTTCTACATGGCAAAGGAGAAGCAGAGTATTCCTCATGGAAGAGGTTTTGACATGTGGGTCTCACCTCTTGCTGTACTTGAGCATTGTTGAAAATGGTAGGGGCCATTCAGATTGTCTACTAATGTATTTTGTTCACATACTAATGTGAATGTGTGTAAATCCTCAAATATCACAACTCTGATGTGTTACAGTTGCCAGTAATTCAGAGTTGAGCTTTCTTCCAGAAATGAATCCAGAGACACCACACAGGATCCATGTTGAAACAGTATGGAACACTCCCTTAAAAAAAAATAATTAACTGAGCTGGACTCAAAGGTGATGTAATTGACCCAACAGACCTTTACAAATGCCTCCTGATTATCTTTAAGACAGTTTGGGGAGGTTTATGGAAAGCATAATGATAAATCACCATAGGATATGTACAGATTAAATGGGACAGTGGGTGGCTTTCCAGCTGGAAGCAGCAGGAACCAGTTCAATTTTTAAAGCCTGAACATTTAATGGGGTGAAAACCATCATTTCCTCTTCAATGATCTGAGTAATTTGAGGGCAATCTGGTTTCTTCTTTACCTGTATTATCTAGGTGATGGAGGATTTATATAAATCACCTCTACAATTCTTCAAGGTTTGAGCAAACTCATAAAGGAAGAGATGTAGCACATTTGGCATAATGTAGCTACATTGTAAGTGAGGTGTTAGAGTCCTAGTTTTCCCCCTTTTTATTTTTCCTCTTTTGTGGGATGAGGTGCATTTGTTCAATGGTTAAGAAACTCAGGCTGTCCCCATGGATGGCATCATGCAGAAGAACAATCAAGGCTCTGTCTGCATCTGATGGATCAGGGTTTTCATTTTTCAAGTGTTTGATTTTAGGGAAGTATCGATGCTACTTTGAGCCTCTGTTCCCTCAGCTGTGCAACGGGAGTCACAGTGTGCATAAAGCTGTGCTAAGGATTAAACCATGCAGCAGATAGAAGCATCAGATTTTGCATGTGGTATGAGTACAAATCATTAGATGAGAGGCAGCTACTCTTATTTATTTCTTGAGATCCTGGAAGTCTCAAAAATATCAGGCAGTAAGTGAAGCCCTATACAAAACAGAGTATAACCAAAAGATTACAAGCATAACCAAAAGATTCAAGTGTCTCTATGAGACCCTCAGTGATTGTATAAATACCAATTCCTAAAAACTCATTTGTCACATAAACAATTGCCACAAAAGCTCTATATCTTACATAATTTCTCTAAGGTCATATGATGGAAATTTATCTACATTTATATTCCAAAACAGTTGTTAGTAATACTTATAAACAAAACAAAATGTTATTTTTTTTCAAAAAAATTGATTCTTTTAAGGCAAGTGCTTACTGGATCTCAGTGCTTTTCACATTTGGGGCTGGTAACTGTTATGGGACGTATGTTCTGGGCATTTTGGAATAAACAGCAATATCTCTGGCACTACTTAGTAGATGACATTCTGACACCCAAGTTATGACAACCAGAAAGACTCTAGACATGTCCAGATATTTCCTGGCAACTCACCAACGTTCTAAAGAAATACTGTATGTGGTAGAAATTTGTTATAAAGGACAAAGTGAATTGGAGATGTAGCCTTCAAAACTCTTAGAAAATTTACACAAAAAGGAGTATTAAAGGTCTTGTACTTTGCAGGAAAGGAAGCATATTAGAAGAAGAGCACATACAGTGTGAAGATCAGGGCTCATGAACTGGATTTAGTGTGGGAAAGCCATTTGCTTTTCAGAACTGTTCAGTAGTTCTCACTAAGTAGATGTGATCACAAGCAAATAACAACTCTCAATGCATTAAAGAAAGAATCATAAAGATGACCCTGCTTTCATCATGCCAACACACACACACACACACACACACACACACACACACACACACACCCCACTGCACATCTCTAATACATTTAAAACTATGATTAGTGCCAATTGGAAATAACTTCTGCTAGTAGTATCTAACTGTGAGGATAAAAAGACAACTGCAGAAGAAAATTTCCTAAGGCTTTAGCTAAGATTTGGTAACCTAATTTATCCTAAGTAGTCAACTGTGGTACATTCATATTAGTTAGCTTAAGTGAAATACCAAATGATAAATTGCTCATTCAGAGTAGTCGGACCATTGCACAAAAACATAAGATCAGATATTTTCATGCTGGTGTCATCCAGTTGTGACCTTTCCATCAGCCTTTCTCTAGGTAGCCATTAGGACAGCACCATATCTCATCACTTCCTGGTGATGTATTAGTCACATTAGACTGTCCTAAGCTAGTGTAATGGCCAAATTACTGCATCACTGGTCATGCCTAATTAAGCATTCTTGTCCATTTCAATGAACTTCACAGAAATGCTTTTCAAAAAATGTTTTAGATTCATACATGCTTTCTAGTCAGGGATTATCATTTCCCTTTGGAAATCTAGTCACTCTGTAAGTTAGCTTCAAATTATGTTTTTAATAATCTATCCACTTAGGTTATATAATATCTAAATTATATTAAATTTCTAATATAATTTAGAAAGTGAGCCTGAAGTTTAAAGTCTAGAACTTTGGTTTAATTTCTAGAAATTCCAAAGCCTTTTTTTTAAAGATACAAACTATTGTCAGTTCTCTTAGAATTTTGTCAGTAAATGGCACCTTGTACATTCAGGTTGTATGTGACCTTCCTGCTTTGTGTGTGTTGGTGCTTCAGATGTAGCCTGTGCTGCCTAACCTGGTTCTCTGCAGTGCTCTGTCCTAGTCTCAAGCAGAGGATGTGTACAAACATGTATCCAAGTCCATTCAAGGAAACCATTTAGATGTTTCTAGGATGTCAATAAAAGATATATTACAATCCTTTGATACAAATGACTTCTCATTTTTTTTTAATCAGAGAAATTTCAAGGGTAAGTATTATCTCTGTACATTTTCTTTCTTATCTTTTAAAGATAGAATCTCACTATGCTTGGGCTGGTAATGGTCTTTAAGATGGTATTGATAGCATCTCCCAGCAACATCAACTTCAACAGAGACTCAATATTTTACATCCACACAAATTGAAAGACAAACTTTTAAGTTACATGAACTTTATGGTTGGTTTCTTTCCTGTAGAAAAAAGTGCAGTTAACGAGAAGGTGTGTTGCCATATTTGAAGATAAATACTCACCACTGTTGCTTAGGATGTTGGGGGTGTCTGCATTCCCCCAGAGCTGGTAGCACAGATTTGGAGTCACTGAATTTTCCTCCTTGTGTCTTGTAAGCTCTCATTCAAGATCAGACAGTAAGTATAAAATGGACTATTTGCAGGATTTCTCCTGTCCTGTAAATATTAGTGTTCTGTGAGTCTCTGGATATTGTCAGGCTTGGCTCTTAGTACCATGCCTAAACTCCTAAAATCACAACAGAGGGTGGGGAAGGAAAGTTCTGTATGCTACACCATTTCTATGATGGAAATTTATCTAAATATCCAAAAAGGTTGTTAATAATATTTATAAATGAAACAAAATGCTTATTAAAAAAGATTCCTTTAAGGAGAGTGAAGATTGCTCCTCAGACTAGTTTTCACCTGTCTTTTCTCTACTTCTACACTGGGGAAAGGGAACCTAATATTGATTCCATATGCTTTGAGGAGAGATAATGAGTGATTGTCCTGCATGAGGAGAAAATGCTGGGAGAGGTGGAAGAAGCAAAGAGGATCAAGGCCAAAGTGGCTCACCTTGGAGGAGGGGATGCATTCCCAAGACCCATGAAAGGCTTAGAATTTCAGGTTCAGTAATGCAAACTGCTCCTTTATGGAGTAAAACTATAGATAGATATGGCCACATGGTCAAGCTTGGTGGGAAAACATCTGATGGTCAGTCTTGATTATCAATTTCATGAGATTATGAAACACCTCAGATATTCATAAAGGGATCATCTTTGATTATGCCTGTGAGGACCTTTCCAGGGAGGATCAAGCAGAGACAAGCTGCTGTGAATGTGGGTGGTACCATCCCATAGGCTAGAGGGAAAAGGAGAAAGCCTACAGAACAGCATTATCTTTCTTTGTTCCTCCTTCCTGGATGCCATGATGTGAACTGCTATGCTTCACCATGCCCTCCCCAGTGATGGACTACAACCTCAAAAACTATGAGTCAAAATAAATTCTTCCCCTGTAGGCAGAAGTTTCTGTCCTGCTAGCAACTCCCAAATACTTAACAGTCGCTTCCCAAACAATTGACTTAGAGTCTTAATGTTACTCATAAATGCTTAGCTGGTAGCTCAGGCTTGTTACTAACCAGCTCTTACATTTTAACTAAGCCATAACTGGCTTGATACCTTTTCTCAGTATGACATTCTCATCTTGCTTCCTCTGCATCTGTCTGATGACTCTTGATTCCACCCTTCCTCTTCCCATCATTCTTAGTTTGGTCATCCTGCCTATACTTCCTGCCTGGCTACTGGCCAATCAGCATTTTATTAAATCAATTTGAGTGACAAATCTTTACAGTGTACAAAGGATTATTCCACAGCATTTCACCCTTTTTGTCTAATTAAAAAGGAAGGTTTTAACCTTAATATAGTAAATCTATATACAACAAAAAAACATTTATTAAGTAAGAATTACAGTAACAATATCCAATCCATTTGCATTTGACAAGTTAGAGAAAATACTTAATTATCTCTCTTGGTGAGTCTAAAGTTTGTATCTAAAGTTCATGCCTAATTTACTTTTTATTTAACTAAGGAAAACTATAATTATAACTATTTAGTCTTCAACTCTATCAAAGACCCCAAAAGGGTGAAATATTACCTAATGACAGGGACCTCAAGCTACCCGGACAGTCATCCAAAGTTCCTCTGCAATGTTGGGGCACCCAACTTTGTCCTACAGGCCTAACATGTCTGACAGACTTTCCTGTGAAGCAGAGAATTCTGAAGGACTGTCCCACCTTGTCTTGGCAAAGTTTGGAAGTTGCCTTTTTTGTTTCCTGCTGGTCCAGTTTGGATGGTAACTGTCAGCAATTGAGGCAGGTCAGTTTCTTTTCTTTTTAAAATAAGCATTTTTATTTTATAATTAATTTAATTTTACATATCAGCCATGGATTCCCCTGTCCTCCCTCCTCCCACCCCCCAGCTTTTTCTCCAATCCATCCCCAATTCCCACCTCCTCCAAAGCAAGGTCTCCCCTGGGGATTCAGCCCAGCCTAGATTCAGTTGTGGCAGGTCCACTCCCCTCCTCCCTGCACCAAGGCTGAGCAAAGTGTCTCAGCCTAGGCCCTAGGTTCCAAAGAGCCAGCTCATGTACCAAGGACAGGTCCTGGTCCCACTGCCTGGGGGCCTCCTAAACAGTTCAAGCTCATCAGCTGCCTCACTTATCCAGAGGGCCTGGTCCAGTTCCATGGGGGCTCCTCAGCTATTGGTTCACAGTTCATGGTTCATGGTTCATGGTCATCGTTCACAGCTATTAGTTCTTTGCCCACATGGCTAGCTTTTGCCATAAGAAAACAAACTCCATATGGAATTTTTGTGCTGTCCATCATCTCTGAAGTAGATTGGTGCTGCTAGGAGCAAACATGACTCATTGTCGTAAAAAGCCTAAGTTCTTAAAACATTTTAATTGCCATATTTTGTAGGTCTTTGAAGTGTCTGAAGATTGTCTATCTATCTGAAATATATCTCTATATTACCTTGAAAATATACCTAACATGACCATAAATTTTTTTTAAAGATTTATTTATTTATTATGTATACAACATATATGACTGCAGGCCAGAAGAGGGCACCAGATCTTGTTATAGATGGTTGTGAGCCACCATGTGGTTGCTGGGAATTGAACTCAGGACCTCTGGAAGAGCAGTCAGTGCTCTTAACCTCTGAGCCATCTCTCCAGTCCAATGACTATAAATTTGCTATTATGGATGACTTTAATCTGTATTTCTTAACTATCTATTACATTTTAAATGAGCTGCATAAACATAATATCCTAAACAAGAATAGAAATATACATATAATATAACAAAATTAATTATAAAGTTGTATTAATAAAACAAAATCCATACCAATGTAAACTATGTACAATTAATAGGTTTTTTTTTTTTTTTTGGTTTTTTCGAGACAGGGTTTCTCTGTGTAGCTTTGTGCCTTTCCTAGAACTTGCTTTGTAGATCAGGCTCTCTCCGAACTCACAGAGATCCACTTGCCTCTGCCTCCCGAGTGCTGGGATTAAAGGCATGTGCCACCACCACCCAGCTAATAGTTGTTTTTTAATTAAAGTAAGTTCAATAATCTACCCTTTTATCCTATCATTTCTATATCCCCCCTTTTCTTTTTACAGTGAGATCCCTGAATCTAATCTCCGTTGTTCAGCTTTTTTCCTGACCATTACCAATAACAACTTGTAACAAGCTCCCCTAAACAATAAAAAAAAAACAACAGTTCTCTAGACTATTTCCTGTGGATTGGGGGAGCTGGTCATCTCAGTCAGTCACCTTGAAGCTGTTCTAAATGTATAACTCAAAGGAAATCACAGCAGAGGTGCTCTGAGATGTTGGATCATCTGGGCCATCTGCTCCCATTCGAGATTTTTCAGGGAGTCTTCCTCCATCAAACCTGATTTTTCTTAACCCAGAATGAATCCAGATCCTCTCATCTCTTGTGAAAATAAAAGCATAACCTCTTTTCCAAAGTAACATATCTTTTAACTTAAATTTCAAAATCAGGCATTTTCAAAATATATAGATTGGATTAATCTAGTAGTTTACACAATCAAATGTCTCTTAGCAGTTATCGTTCATTAATTAACCATTAAAAACTTAAAGACAACATATTAACATATAGTATCTAATCTCTCTGTGTATTCTCCATCTTTATGTGGCTTATTATTTTTGTTCTTCTATTACTTTTTTTCTTCTTCTATTACTTTTTGAAGGACTTTCTCTATCCTTTTTATTTTTTCTCCCAAGCCTATGCATTTTTTTAAAAACATATTATAACCCGTTTAGAGTTTTTTTTCCATCTGAATCTGTCCTCGCTGTATATCTGTAATCCTTTTTTGACCATATCAGTTTTTAAACTGGCATGGCTCTGCCCCAGTAGGCTTCCTGAGAGCCTAGTTTCATGGCTGAGGTATCAGCAAGAGTCATACTTAGTGTCCCAATTCCGGGAAGCTGTTGGGTCTGTGCTGCCACCAAGCAGCATGCATCCCACAACCCACAAACCCCATTCAAGTGTTCTATAGCAGGACCTCCCAAAAGAGCTGGCAGCGCTGCCCGAATGAACCAGGAAGCCATGTCTTAAAGGAACCATGCTTCTGCTTGCTGCTAGCAAACAGAGCCTTTCCCAGAAAATGTTGCTACCAAGAAGCTGTGCTTGACTCTGTTCTTTTGTGTGTTTAGCGTCCCTTTTTTAAAGCTTTTCCAGGTTTTATGTGGAAATTCTTGCCCCACATTGTAAGCCAAGTGTAGGTGGAAGTTTCTGTCCTGCCAGCAACTCTCAAATACCCAGTGGCCGCTTACTAGATAATTGACTCAGAGGCTTAATATTACTTATAAATGCTCAGATGATAGCTCAGGCTTCTTACTAACTAGCTCTTACATTTAAACTAACCCATAGTTCTTATCGATGTTCAGCCACGTGGCTTGGTGCTTTTCTCAGTGCGGCATTCTCATCTTGTTTCCTCTGCATCTGGCTGGCAACTCCTGACTTAACCCTTCTTCTTCCTTCTTCTTAGTTTGGTTACCCTACCTATACTGCCTCCCTGGCTACTGGCCAATCAGCATTTTATTAAATCAATTTGAGTGACAAATCATTATAATGTACAAAGGATTATTCTACAGCATTCCTCACTTAGGTTGTTTTCTCAGCTCTTTGGTCATCTTGAT